TCAGTCTGTTAACCCTGTATAAAGTGAAAAGGACTTCCAAATTATTTGGGTTAGCACTAGTGATAATTCCTTAATAGAGAGATAGCAGGAAAGGGAATGGGAGAATTGGTTACATTTATTACACTTAATAGCATGTGGTTTGTCAAACTATTTCCTGATGTTAAAGTTTTTATCAAAAACTAGACTAGCTTTTTCAAATGCTATATAGCAAACCTTAAATATCCCTACTGCAGCTAATTCCTGCCTTTCACTGTAGAAAAATTTTAAAACTTCACTGGAAGATTCCTTACTTCTCTCCCTCCATAATCAGTTTCAGTCTATCTGCTCAGCAGGACATGTTTGCTTATTATGTAGTTTTCCAGCCCATGTAGTTTTCAAGATAGGAGTCAGTGGAGATTATGAATTACTTCTTATACTGCTTCAAAGTCATAAAATATCATTGCTTAAGCATTTCAGCAGCTTTAATAATCAAGCTCCTTAAGGAAGCAGTGCATTGCTGACTGTGATACATAAGGGAAGGTTTATGTGAGTCTTTTGGTGCACATACTCAAATATCAACTCTTCTCATCTGGACAAGGACAGTGAAGTTGAATTGGCTTCTGAGATTAAATGAGGGACTCTCAGACTCTAACAAGGAGAAAAGTTGGTTTCATGAAAACTGTTTAATTGTCCTGCCTTTAAATTGGCCTTTCTATAGCTGAAGGGAAAAAGATTACTCCGAAAGTATGTTTGGTTAAAGGACTCAGCTCTTCCATGAAACTTTCCTTAACTAAAATGGTACTATTTTAATTGTTTCAGCACATATGTTTATGATCTGTATCATAACATTATAGTCTTACTTATATGTTGATTTGAAACTATTCTCTATATTTTATACAGTTCATTAAGTAAACCTTTTGAGCATTTACTGTATGAAGGGTACTACTGTTAAGCACAGCTACAGGTTATATAATCCTTGCCCTCAGAAGGCTTACAATCTAATAATAGAACTAAGGCAAATATCTACTGTAACATAAGGAACAGTGAAAATACTAAGGGGACTTCTGAAGAGGTGTTATATGTGGTAGAAGATTGAAAAGGGTAACATCAAGGAGGTGACATTTAAGATATATAGACTTCCTGGAACTTCCCTGTTGGTCCAGTGGCTAAGGCTCCACGCTCCCAATGCAGGGGGCTCAGGTTTGACCCCTGGTCAGGGAACTAGATCCCGCGTGCTGCAACTAAAAGAAAAAAAAGATCCTGCATGCCGCAACTAAGGATCCCATGCGCTGCAAGGAAGATCCCACGTGCCGCAACTAAGACCCAGTGTGGCCAAATAAATAAATAAATCTTTTTTAAAAAAAATTAAGATGTATAGACTTCCTGACATTCAGGGGGGTAGGAAGACATTCCATGTAAAGGAACAAGAAATGGAGGCAAAAAGTATCATCTGTAAAGGCAAAGGAGTAGATTAAGGCTACATAGCATTTGGCCTTGACTAGTACACAGAGGAACTGTGCTTATTTAATAAAGTAGAGAACCATTGAAAGTTTTTGAGCAGGACAGAGGTATAATGAGAGTTGTGTTCTAGAAACATTAATCCCATGAAATGTGTAAGACTGATTGCAGGGAAAAACTATAATAACCCAGGTAATGAGAATCTAGGTAATTGAGAGAATGTTGGTCCTATTAACAGAAGTTAAGTCAGGAAGAGGCTGATTTGGAAAGGTTAGGGATACAGTTTTCACTTTAGATGTGAGTTTGAAATCCCAGAATACCCAAGCTAAGATGTGTATTGGGCAGTAGAAGAATCAGAATTGGAGATTTGAGAGGCCTGTACGAAGTTGAAATCATGTAAGTGAATGAACATGTTGAGTGCAGAGAAGAATACAGCCAACCTTCAGGAAATGTCTATACTTAGGAAGGAAAAAGACAACACAAGGGAAAAAAAGATTATCATCTCCTCAACTAGATGTAAGCTCTTGGTTCAACAGGTTCAATACCCTCTGCTTTCTTTTTATCCCTTGTTGTAAAATTTAATAAATTTGTAGTTTGGGGGACTTCCCTGGTGGTCCAGTGGTTACGACTCTGCGCTTCCACTGCAGGGGGCACGGATTCGATCCCTGGTCAAGGAACTAAGATCCCACATGCAGCACAGCATGGCCAAAAAAAATTAATTAAAATAATAGTTAAATGGTTTTAAAAAATGATCCCTAAAAAAAAAATGTAGTTTGAATATATGAGAAATAAAACCACAAGATTGATAAGACTCTTTTCTACAGGATGAGGATGAAGAAGTATACAAGAGAGATTTCAGCGCACCTACCCTGGAGGATCATTTCAACAAAACCATTCTTCCCAAAGTCATGCAGGTATGGGGTAACTTAATGACATGAGAGAGAAAAGTAACGTATTGAGGGCTGTGACATGATATGTCTGGTGGTATAAGTCATCATCTATCCTAACAGGTCAAGAACTTTGGACGCTCTGGTCGTACCAAGTACACCCACCTCGTGGATCAAGACACCACCTCCTTTGACTCAGCATGGGGCCAAGAGAGTGCCCAGAACACAAAGTTCTTTAAACAAAAGGCAGCTGGGGTACGAGATGTATTTGAGCGGCCGTCTGCCAAGAAGCGGAAAACTACTTAACTTATTCTTCCAACTGTGGGACACAAGGGGAAATCTCAGCATCTGGTCCTTGATTGTTTTTACTACTATTTACCTGGCCCCTGTATCCAGCCTGCTGAGCCTACTGCCATACTTGTGACACTGGGCAAACCTAGTCTTTGAGGTGCTTTGTGAGGTTTGGACTCATGCTGAGAAACCTGCAGAAAAGCACTGTCCAGGTAGGATTAGAGGCTCCCCACTTAGGACTATTTCTGAAAAATCTTCAACTTCATTACTGCTCTGGCTTCCCATATTCATTTGGGACTGTTCCAGGTTTCTTTTTCCAGCCCTTAGCTTGGGTTAGAAAAATGGATGGGCATGTAAGTGGGCAATGCATTACTTCTACCGTACAGGAAATCTAAGCTCATTGAAACCTGTTTTGCATTTTGGGGGTAAATTTTTCTAGATGAACATTACTTTTTGATCCATTTATGTGTGTGTGTGTGTGTGTGTGTGTGTGTCAAGAAATAAAAGAATCATACACCAAGAGGTTTTTTAGCATACCAGAAATAAAATGTGCAGGCTGACAAGTATCTACCTACTAACTAAAATAAAAGACAGCAGGGAATTGTCAGGCAAATTATGTTTCACATTTTAATCATCCCCTTTGATTTCAGAAACCAGCAGAGATGCTAGACAGGCTGTATTGTAAGTGGCATCTAGATTTATTCCGTGAGCAAATGTGTATGTGCTTGTCCTTGCTGTCTAAACTGTAGCTGTATATAGAACAAAACAGGACAATGAAATAAGGAATCCATGTAGCATACTGGTATCTTCTTGCCCAGCTCATATATCGAGGGCATAGTGCTGAGTTGCAATGTAGCGACAACATGCTAGACGTCACTGGCAGAGTTAAATTTAATTTTTTCTATTTAATATTTACCACATTACCACCGTGCATGTGGCAGAGCATTAGGAGTCCCAGGGGTTATAAGGAACAACATTTAACCAGTGGGAAGACTATCTCTAAATTGCATTAAAAAATGAGAAGGGGGGGACTTCCCTGGTGGCACAGTGGTTAAGAATCCACCTGCAGGGCTTCCCTGGTGGTGCAGTGGTTGAGAGTCCGCCTGCCAATGCAGGGGACACGGGTTCGTGCCCCAGTCCGGGAAGATCCCACATGCCACGGAGCAGCTGTGCCCGTGAGTCATGGCCGCTGAGCCTGTGCATCCGGAGCCTGTGCTCCGCAACAGGAGAGGCCACGACAGTGAGAGGCCCGCATACCATACCGCAAAAAAAAAAAAAAAAAATCCACCTGCCTATGCAGGGGACGTGGATTTGAGCCCTGGTCCAGGAGATCCCACATGCTGCAGAGCAACTAAGCCCGTGTGCCACCACTACTGAGCCTGCGCTCTAGAGCCCGAGAGCCACAGCTTCTGAGCCCACATGCTGCAACTACTGAAGCCCATGCACGTAGAGCCTGTGCTCCACAAGAGAAACCCCTGCAATGAGGACCCCGTGCATTGCAACCAAGAGTAGCGCCCGCTCGCCACAACTAGAGAAAGCCCACGCGCAGCAACGAAGACCCAACTCAGCCAAAAATAAATATCTCATTTTAAAAAATGAGACAGGCAAGGTCTTTTCACAATCTTTAAATGCTCCACTAGAAGTATCACTCATAAATCCTTAAATGTCCTAGAATAAAAATACGAGTGCAAATAATTACTGTGAGGTAATAAACACAGAGATGAATATGTCACTTGTATGTGCCAGAAAGAGATACAATCTAAGAATTTTCCTAACGAGCCAAAATGAGTGAGAGCTACATTCACCTGCTCATGAATTCTTACAACCTATCAGATCTATGTATCATTTTATAGTTGAGGAAACAAGCTCAGCAAGGGTGAGTTAGTGATCAAAAATTTGATCAACTTTTAAAGTAAAATTGCTTTCTCTCCAGGTTAAAAAATGGAATCCAAGGTGTAAGTGTTGGGGTTCAGAAAATATTAAAATCTTTCATAAATCCTATATAAGACATAACCTTTGATAACTTCTATTGTAGTTACCATGTTCCCACCTCAGTACCTAAATTCTAACTCACAGTGGCTTATGAACTGGACTGGTGACTTAAAACTATATGCAGTGGCTCCTAGGCAGGTACTGGCCTTTCAGCTGTTCATAAGCTACCCTAGAGACACATGCCATGGAGTACAGTACACTTTGCTGTACCTTGAATGCTGTTGAGAACTAGTCATATGAATGAGCCTGATCTGCCACATAGCATCTGCATCTGAATATGAGGTACTCTTCTACACTGATCCTTCACATAGGTTCATTAAGGGTTATACTCCAACATGTAAATTTCCCACAATAAAATACAATATGATATACATTGCACTTGATCCAAAATGATAAAACTGCAACTTGGGAAAAAAAAAACGACATCTTTATTGAAATAAGTTAATCTAGTGGGTAGGTCTGAGAAAACACAAAATCAGTTGGTTAGGGCAATAAGAGCCTCTACCACGTTGCCCATGTGTTCCCTCAAGCTCCGTTCTGCTGCTGCTCGCGAGATCTCCATCTCTGTCATCTGCAGGAAAAGGATCAATGATTTTACCTAAGTCTCCTCCTGGGCATTAATGTGCCAGCAAAACATGAGGACTCTACTTGTTTCAGGAAACAACCCAAACTAAACAAAGAAACCTCCCCCACCCATACACTAGTTAGACATTACTACTCACTATCAGCTCCAGATCTTCCTTCTTGATGGTGACTTTTGCCAGTTCCTTCTCCCTGCAAATATTCATGTACTTAGTCCTCATTCTTTACCTCCACCATAAACTCCCAGAAAGGATTTTTTTCCAGCTGCAATAAATGACTCTTGATAAACACTGTTGACTGAAAATACAAAACGACTCCCACCCTCTCACCTAACATCCCATCCCATCCCCTGGAATATTTACAGCAGGCAGCAGGTGTTGCCAGGAGGCCTTTCCTTCCACCAACAAGAGTAAAGTTGTAAATCTTAGACCTGCAGAAATGGGTGACAGAGTTGAAGAACAGTACAAGGTACAAAGGCCTAACGATGGCTTTTTTTGTCTGGGGGAATGAGAGGGGCCCGTAGGTAAAACGACTTACCGCTCCTGTTTGGCTTTCTGCTCCCGGGACCGTCTATCCCCAATCACGGACATGGCCTACAGGAAAGAAAGATCTAGTCACTGCTCTGCTACCCACAATTCCTAATAATCTAAAATACCAGTAACAAGCGGGTGAGGTGTGTATTCACGATGACGAGCGTACCAGGAACCGGGACCTACGTTTAATTCAACTCTGTGCACCTGAGACCCATTTTAAACCCAATCTCCATCAAGTTCCTTTTCGCAAGCAGCGGGCTCCAATGACGGTTCAGTTTCCCTCTTGCCTCCTCCCACCATGGAGATGGAGACCCGTCCTGGAGCTGGGCTTCCAGTTTCAGCCTCCCAAGCCCCTTCTGCTCTCATCCCTCCCAGACAGGCTCCCGGCCAACCTCACCGTCTCCAGATTGGAACTCTGGATCTCCTTCTCTTCGGCATAGTCGGTGACTCGCTCCAGGTCCGCCGCCCCACTGTCATGTTTCCGTGGCTTCTCGGGAGGCCGCTCCGGGCCGCTGGTCTCAGTCTCCAACTCTAGCTCCACGTCCCCCTCGGTCGCCATGTCGATCCCACCACGCCGCGGCAGAGGCCCGGCCCCGCCTCAGGAAGACTTCCGGTAACTGCCTCGCAACTTCCGCCGGGAGAGGAGGAGGCGGGACCGGCCCTGGGCCACACCTTCTTTGGTGCTCTGGTTCTAGAACTTCAGCGAGGAAAACTGTACGCCTCTCAGACTTCCTTTCGGGCTTCTAGTGTTGCTTTCTGCCAGGCCGTGTCCCAGACCTAACCCGTCACCACTCCAGGCCTTCCCATCCTTCCCTTCTCTTCACCTAGGTCCAGCCCACACACCCCAAGGAATTCTGTTCAAGATGGATGACGTCTAATCCTAAACCAATTAAGAATGCTAATCTACAAGCCAGATATGCAAACTGCTCCCTAATCTGGGGAGAACAGACTGAGTGGCCCAAGGACCCTGGGGAGAAAGTAGTTTCACAGGGACATTTGCATTTACCACATCCTGAAGGTCGGTGTTCTTTTCCTGATGTCCCTCCCCATTCTGCCTGAAACTGGGTGACCAACCCCGGCACAGCAGGAGTCCAGTGGGCTGAGGACAAAAGAAAGCTACTACTTTCTCATCTTCCTTCCATCTGGTGGACCTGGGCCTAATCCCTGGGATAAGGATGGTGGGTGCAAAGGCGGTCACAAGCCCCAGCACCTCCCTCTGCCTGGCACAGCAACGCAGTGGAGTCAGCAGTGTCACAGCGAGTCTTCCCTTCTATCAGGTGAGAGGGTACTTGGGCAGAGAGCTCCCTGGAGCAAGCGCTATCTGAAAAAGTGGAAGGGAATGGTGGTTGAAGCTGGGGAGGAAAACCCATGGGAGCTGATAAAGATGATAGGCCTTCCTTTCACTTGTGAGGCCCTTCTGCTTCTTTGCCTCTAAGACTACTAATCATTAAACCTCTCCTCCCATGTACCCAGTACCGGATGTTTAGATCCTGGGAAAGATTAGAGGCCAGATGTGACTTAGGCTTTTAGAAAGTTCTGCTCGAGCCTGCAGTTAAGCTCTTATGATGAAAGCTCTACTTGATGTCAGTGGAAGGCAATCCTAAAAAGCTTGGAACCAGAGAGTCTGAGAATTCCTGAGTGAAAGGAGAGAAGAAAAGGGAGGGGGAAATTTTGGAATTCAGCCTCTTGGGTTAACCTCACATGTACATTAATGGAAGCCTTTCCTCAGCAAATCTCCACCTTGCTGCCCTGCATCTGCTCTACCCTCAGGTGCTCTGCTGTGGGCCTGCTCCCTGTACCCACTGCTGCCATTCTAGGTGGCCCCCTCTCACGGAGTCTCCTTGTAGCCGCCTGTTCTACATCCTCCTCCATGTGGGGACCTCAGCAGTCTGCTGCCTCCTGCTGTCAAGGATGGTAGTGCAAAGAGTCTGGGGCAAGGCACATGGGGTAAGTGGGAAGAGGTTGGGGTGCAGCAGGACAGGATAAAAGGAGAAACCCTGAGATAAACAAGAGATTCAGGTTGGGGGAAGGGGACAAATGAGTGGACATACCCATAAGAAGAAGGTACTTCTCTATGCATGATGACTTGCCCAGCCATTTCTCACATGTACCTTCCCTCCAGATCCAGATGCCCTCAGGGCTGTGTGCCCATCTGTTTCGCCACTCTCACTGCCCAGTGCTCAGCGGCTCTGGGGCTGTATACAGGAGTATGTACAGGAACTGCCACCTTTCACCTGCTGCAGGCTGTGCTGTTGGTCGACCTGCACTCCCCCACCAGCCTGAGAGCACAGCTGCATAAGAGGTGTGTGTGTATTCTTTGGGTGGGGAGGGGATGAGGAGCGAAGTAGACATAAGCTGAGTAAAGGAAATTCCAAGATGAAGTAATAGCACTGTAAAAAGACAGAAAACAGGTTTAAGTCCCTGCTTCCACTATACTTGCTGTGTGACCACAAGCCACACACTTATCCTCTTTGACATTCTAGTTTCTGAAATGGAGATAACAGTGGGGTTACTATATGCAAATCTTTTGTCAACTGTAAAACACTGTCCGGATGTTTTTATTTAGGTATCTGAAAGTCAGAATTTGGAATGGGCTGTGATGGGCCCATCTCCAGCCCCTCTCACATGGGACTGGTTCCTCCCTTCCTATACTTAGTTGTCTCTTCTCTCCCTTCCTATAATTCTGCCTTCTCCTTTGCCTTCCTCCACTGGCACTGTTCACTCTCCTTTGCCTTTTCTTCTGAGTCTGGTTTTCTCTATCCCTCTTAAGCAGCTTCTGGCTCCTCAAGCTGCCGTTCCAGCTAGGTCTCTATGCTGTTGCCTTCTGCATGCCTGATGAGCATCTCTTCCCAGGTACCTTCCATCTCATCCTGATCAGCGGAAGTAAGCTAAAAGATTTTCTAAGAAAAAAAGAGGGTAGGAAGAGGACCAGGAGTAATGATATGATCAGCTACATTTCCCCACTGGTGCCTCACCTGCAGCCTGGCATTACATTGGCATCTGTAGAGGCTTCACCTTCATCCTGCTGCAGTTGGTGCTTTTTACAGCCTTTGCCCGTTCCTGGAACAAGAACTGGTAAGGAGGACACAACCCTAAAGGCTTCCTGGGAAGTCTAACATTACTAGACCCAGCTGGGTGGGGCAAAGGACAGGACAGGTTGATGGTCCCAGAGCTTCCCACTAAGCAGTATCTCGAAAAGCTCAGGAATGTGAAATGACTGTGGGCCAGGTGGGATGGGTAAGTCTCCCCAGTCTTCTGGAAGAGGGGGGGATAGTTGATAATGGGTAAAAAGAAGAGTTGGAGCGCCAAGCCATTGCCCACCTCCCACCCCTAGGCAAACAGGTGCAGCCCAAGACTGCCGCTGGTTCCTAGCTGTGCTGCTGACCACCCTAGGATTCTACAGCATGGCAGGTGTAGCAGCTGTGCTCCTGTTCCACTACTACACACACCCAGATGGCTGCCTGCTCAACAAGATGCTGCTTAGTCTGCATGTTTGTTGCTGTGGTCTCCTTTCCTTCCTCTCCATTGCTCCCTGCATCCGCCTCAGTGGATACATGCCTTGCAACATTCCAGATTTTGGGGACCTTTAGTATAGCAATTTCATTGGCCTCCCTACCTCAGTCAATTCTCTGCTTCCCCCAAAGGGTGGAGGGACAGAAGTACAAGTGAGGGTAGAAGTAAAGGAAATTACTACCCTGTAGGCTAAAGCAGGGATTCCCATTCTTCCCAGAGCAGCTCCACTCTGGCCTTCTACAAGCCTGTCAACAGCTGCTATATCATGTACCTGACATTCTCTGCGCTATCCAGCCGTCCTCCAGAGAGCGGTAAGGACAGGACATGGATTTCCCCATGCTAAAACCTTTTTTGCTCCTGCCAAATACCTAACTCTTTGTTCTTACCACCTTTCTCTTCTGTTGCCCCTTCTCAGTAATCCTTCAAGGACAGAATCACTCTGTGCCTGCCTGGCCTGAGTAAAATGGAACCCCAAACACCAGATACTTCTCTGGCAGTGTTGAATGCTGGCATCATGTATGCTTGTGTGCTTTTTGCTTGGTGCATAAAGGTGTCAAGGGAAAGGTGTGAGAGAAGGGAGGATGCTCAGGACAGGGAACGATGGTCAGAAGACTGTCTGGGACCACGGTTTATTTAAACTTTAGAGCAAGATAAGAGGAAAGCTCCCCATGAACAAAAACAACTTCTAAGAATAGCACTTGTCAGATGATCTGTATGAGATGAAGGGGGTAGGGGAAATGACTTGAGAATTTTTAAATGTATAAAGACTTCAGGGCCCTCACATGAAAATATTTCTAAATCTTTGGCGGAAAAGGGCTCCAGGAGCACAGTACCCTCCTGAGAGTTACTAATATGGACCAACCAGCTAGCAGTAAATGCCCTCAGGCAATCCTCCTGCTATCTGACTGGACCAGCTTGAGAACCATCTCTTCCTTCTCAGCAATGAGGCTTCCTACCTTGCTGAGGTATTTGGGCCCTTGTGGACTGTCAAGGTTTACAGCTGTGAGGTCCAGGTGAGGATAGAGAGCACAGTATCCCCAATACCCCTCCCCCCTCACACACAGTCACAGACACACACACATCCTATCAACCTCTACCCAGAATGCTCAGATTCTAGCTGCTATTACCTTTTATTGAGTACCCACAATGTGCTAGGCACTGTGCTAGATACTTTACATACATAATCTCATTTAATTTAATCCTCACAACAACCCTGTGAGGTAGGTATTTGCTCCATTTTACAAATGGAGAAATTGAGGCACAGAAGGTTAAACATCTTACCAAAGTTCCCATAGCCAGTTATATTCTGAAGCTAGAATTTGAATCCAGGTGTGCCTCCACTTTTTACATCACACCAATCTTTTCAAATGAGAGGAGTTTCCTATACTGTTACCCAGACATTCTTTTTAAAGTCATTCCAAAACATGCTGCCTTTTGTTTTACAAAAGCCCTTACTCTGTTTCTGCTGCCCTGAAACAGTGCAGCCAGAGGAAGGTGAGTGTCAAGTGAGGATCCGTAAGTGTAGATTTCTGCAGAGTGCCAAAGAGCCCTCAAGTGCCTTCACAAAAGATGGGGGAAGAGGGAGGAGGTGTTTCAGCAGCACTGCTGCCAGCAGTCCTTTCCTCTCTCCAGGGCAAACAGGTGGGGCTGCCAGGCCAGCTAACCGAGACCGCTCCAGCTCCTCCATTGCAAGCCCAGCAGCTTTCCTATAGCTATTCTGCCTTCCACTTCGTCGTCTTCCTTGCATCACTCTATGTCATGGTTACCCTCACCAACTGGTTCAGGTAGGATGGAGGCGGGCTTGGGACACTCTTCTGAAAACCTAGTTGTTTTAGGGAAAG